CATGATATATTAAATAGGAAGCTATTTATATATTTTGAAAATATGAAGATGATAATCTTTCAGAATCAGATGCAGTAAGATCTAATATTAAATTAAGGATTTATCACCAAGTAGCATGTCATAATGACCTATTTAGAGATGTAGCTTGTTTTTATTTTTTTTTAACTTATTTAAACAAGGGAAATTGGTAAAAATAACACAAAAAATTATAATCTAAAAACTAACCAAAAATCCTATATCCAATGGTCATGATTTTGCCACATAGCCCATTTTTACTTACTTTTAATATTTTTTTTTTGTTTGGTTATACACCAAAATGACCCTTTAAGCAATGGGTTTACAAGTGACCATATTACTCTTCTGAAGCATTGAAGAACATAATGATTAGACGTTTTGTATCAGTCGGACGACGGAACTATGACATAACATAACTTTTTTTTTTGTTTTTTTAAGAAAAAATGATTTGTAACTACACCAAGTATAACCCCTTACATGACTACACATCCCAACTAAATTAATGTCATCTTAACTACATCAAGTAATGGATAAACATAGTGACATACACGAACAAACATAAGTCATGGTACCAACACCATAACCATTAATTCATCAATTATTATTTAACAAAATTGTTAAATCCGATTGATCCAATTAGAACTAACTCATACCTAAGACAAATTGAGTGAGTTTTTAACCTGGTCCAATACAATATAAAATTAAGCTCAAACCACCCCGATTCAATGCAAACTACATATGTTTTTGGTAAAAACCGCAATTCTTTCCACATAAATAGATTTTTTCGCGACTAAAAATGAGTTAGAAGAGAAAAAAAGTTTTGTCCATGCAAGAAAAAAGTTTGTCGAAGGAGCATTTATGGAACTAGATCTCCCAATGTTTTTAAGTGGCAAAGAGAAAATTCTTTAGGAAAAAAAAAATCCTTTAGGATGTTTATAGGGCCAATTAGCACAGTAGCAGTATTGAGCTTCAAAATAAAGAAAATAGCTATGGAGTTACAAAAATAAAGTAATTAACCAACGCAATCTTTTCTGGACATTTTTATCCTCACCGGTGCGTTTACGAAGTCATGTCGACCGGCCATATTGTCAAATCAAATAAATAAAATCAGAGAAAGAAGATGCGTAGATCTGAAGCTCTGTCTCAAAACATTTTCGTTTACGGCGGCCTTCTAGAACCCGCCGTTGCCGCCGTGATGCTTGATCGCGCCGCCGATACCCTTCTTGCCGTTCTCCATGGCTAGTACGTTCTATATCTGCAGATTGTTTGGAGATTTAACTTTGATTTCTAGGTTTTACAGTCACATGTATAAACTTAAAAAACGTGCGTATCCATGTATTGTACCCTTTGAGGCAGGAATTGTCAATGGAATGGTTTGATTGAATTGAAGTTTTACTCTTTCCGTTCATTCGCTCAATCATTTGTGTAAGAGCATTTTTGGAACTATAATACATTATGTACAAAATATCAAGCCAACTTCTTTTATGGTTACTTAGCTTATTAATAATTTTTTCTTGGCTATTGAGCCAAATTTTCCATGTTTATTTTCGGAAATAAGAAACATATTCATTGATATTTCTAGTTGTTAATGACATTACTAATTAAGATCTACTAGTATTAAATTATGTAGATAATATAAATTTTAATTTCTTTTCCAAAAAGTACACAACTTATTAGAGCACTCAAGTACTAGCAGGTTTCAAACT